AAACGTAACTGCAACCAGTTAACATTTTTAGCGAAGAAACCGTAACTGTAACCTGCAGACACTTTTATAAAGTAACTTTCCCAGCTCCGTGTACATGCGTGCGTGTGTGATGTGCCCGCGCACGCGTGGATATAAAAATGTATAAATTTCCCAAATGCCAGGAGAAACTTAATTATCATTTAACGCACTTCGGCGTGACGTAATAATATAACAATGAACGAGATTAGCTGCTTATTGTCCGTCGTTCGAACCCACGCTTGGCTTTTCTGTATTAACTTTTGCAAATTGACAACCTGGCGAGCCTGGCGGAAGAAGTCCCGTACGTTCCCGAGGAGAAATGGAAGGTCAGGATGACGTCAACTTGATGTCATTGACCAACATATGACAGAAATTTCGTCGGCACAACGTCAAATCGACATGTGTCATCCTGACTTTTCTCCTCGAGTTACCCCGAAATGAAAACGGAGCATCCGTGGAGGAGCGAGCGCGCCGTAAGGCAGAGGGTGCCATTTGTCGCGTAACCGTCGGCTTCGTCCCCGTTTTCATTTCGACGCTGACCAAACGATGACACGAGCTCAGTCAATATAACGTCAAATCATATCCTGACTTTTCTCCTCGGGTTACCACGAAATGAAAACGTAGCACCGTGGCGGCGCGAACCGCGCCGCAAAGCAGAGGGTGCCATTTGTCACGGGACCGTCGGCTTCATCCCCATTTTCATTTCGACGCTCCCGTTTGCGCTTCGATTGCGTTTTAATTGCGCGACGCGGCGATCCATACTACACTGTAAAGCGCGAGTACGATCGATCGTTATCGAAGCGACTGTTCAAATCAAACGTTAGGCGCGGAGGGGTGGGGGAGGGGGGAGGAAACTGTGAGAGCAGTTTCCGGACTTCCGGAAACGTTGGGACGAACCTCGGATGTGTTACCCGAGGGGGGGCGGAGGGAGAGACGGATCGCGAGGTTCCGTTGCACGCGCCAACGATCCGGAATGCGTTGAGAGAGCACCAGGGACGATCCTGGAACGATCGCCCGGCGCGAGATGCCGATCTCCTTTGCGCAGCACCGCCGAACGCGCGTCGCGCGTTCGCGACGACTCGCGGCGCGCCCTGACAGTTCGTCGATTATGCGGAATCGAGAGAAGAGGGAAGCGATCGCGACCGGCGAGAAGTTATAGTTATATATTACGCGCGTAAGATGCTTAATACAAACGATTAATATTGTTTTTTTATCAAATTGAGATCGAAAGAGAGAAGGACGGGGAGAGAAATAGAGAGAGAGAGAGAGAGATATGCGCGTCTGAAATATGCGTGTGCGTATGTGTGTGTGCGCGCGTGTGCGTTGAGAGAGAAAGAAAAGAGAGCTAGAGAGAAGGGGGGGGGGAGAGAGAGAGAGAGAGAGAGAGAGAGAGAGAGAGAGAAGGCAGAAAGCGGGAGAGAAATTTCAGCAACGGCGTTCATTCTTCGACAACCATAATATGCAATATAAAAATTGAGTATACTGAGCAAAGCAGCGAAAAACCATCTGTCCTAGTCCTAGTATTCGAATTCATCACCATAATTTATAACCAATTTCAATTTAAATCTAATAAAACGATGTTATATAATACTAACTTGTGCTCGTCAATTCGCTGGTGCCTCCGGCAGATCCTTCCACTTCCATAAAAGGTGCCTATCTTCAGGGCCGTGTCCTCGGCATATCACGTTCCACTCGCGCGAAGGCAACTGTCTTGCCGGTTAACCGAGCATCGACAGCAAATCGCGAGAGGATTCGGCGATCGCGGTTTCTTCCCGTACTTGTCGCGTATCGCGAAAGAATAACCGACCCGTTCCGACTGTCGCCGCGTGAATGATAGGCAACAATGAGATTAGACCGTTTTCGAAGTGCTTACGGCGCTACGCCATTTCTCGGAACCGGCGCTCGGCGCCCCCGAAATTCCAAGAATTTCCGCGATTGATAAACCTCGATAATCGACGAAACTTTAAACATTATGTGCTCGCGCCGCCTTTGACTTGTACACTTGTTCTTTAATATTGTCCTCGTGGTATGTCTTGTCGCTAAAAAAAATTCTCCAACCCTAGTAGCACAGTGCATTGACCAAACATTGGTTAAACATTGGCCCAATACTTGTACTGGTTGTATTGGGCCAATGCTTAGCCAATGTTTGGTCAATGCACTGCGCTACTAGGGAAATATCTTTCCTGCACATAAACGCGGCGATTCTCGTAATATTGACAACACAAAATTAAAAGATAGCAAACGTGCCAAACACGTTAGATAAACCGTGGGTCTTGTAGCGAAATTGCAGTCATCGCGAGTGTGCTCTCGTTCTTTTATTTTGAAATGTGTTTTTCTTATAAACGTTGCCGGCCTTCCGTCTCGCTATTCGTTTCGTACCAATCTCCTCGGTGATTATCCAATCGTCGGGAATAAATGATTCACGATTCCGTTTATGTTTTATGACTTTTTTATTGAATGATTCTAACCGTTATCAAGAAACAATGTTGTGTCTGTCGTACATGTTTAAAAACTGGTCTTTATTAAAATTTTTTTTATGCGGATGCGATCAATGATATCGGCGTGTGGGTTTCCTTATTCATTTTTTTTTCCTTTCAATTTGCGCATTCTTCCGCGTTTTGCGCGAAGAGGAGAGCGAACTGCAGGTCTGCCCGTCAAGTTGCAGCTTCTGCATTTAGCTTCTTCCCTCCCTGGCCCGAATCTACGCTTCATAGTAGCCGCTTGTGGTACAGGAAGCGCATCCGAAACGGACAGACCTTGCGACATGGATCGTCGTCGATGCTCATGATGTACTTGCCGAGCGAACGCCTCAGGTTTGTAAAGAAATATCGTTGAGACTCTGATATGATTTGGTAAAAAAATTCTTACGCGTGGATAAACTTCTAATACTTCCATTGGAAATATGCGATGCGTAAACACGTGGGCATGTCGATATTTTTATGCGTTATGCAACAACGGCGCCCGCGATCGGCGCAGCCGATACACCATGAGTACGACACGGTTACATGAGAATTATCTTGTTTCATTACTCTTTCAGGCCTTGGACAAGACGACACTCGTAATCCGCAGTCGCGAATTATCCGTTTTGTTCGTAGAGCATTGTAAAATCAAATGATAGGCCTCCTAACGATAGATAAATAGGTATTGTAATCTTAGAGCCACAGAGATTTGTAGAAGTCTCGTTAGATAATAGATGAATTATCTCCTATTATCGCGACGAAAATTCATGCAAACTGATATGGCCTCGGCTGTCAGAGAAAAGGAAAGAAGACGTGAAAAGTCACCTCTTAACAATTGTACACTATTTTCTAACGTCTACATGTTTCTTAAATTACACCGTAAATTATTGTGAAAATATAATTGAACAATTTTGTCATCGCGTTCAACTTATTATCTTTTCTTTTTGGTGAAAAAAAAATGAAGTGCCGTCTCTCGCGTTTTTGGTGGTTCCTCACGAAACACCTATAAATCTCTAGGACTCTCATAAACTAAGACGGTGTATCGTGTATAATATTTTAGGGGTATTATTAGCTAGGTATAGGTAAACATTGCCTATGTACAATCGCAACAGGGTTGCGCATACTACTTCTTGGCAATCCTAAGTAAAGCTTACAGTTTGAATAAACTTCTTTAGGTAATTATGTTTTTTTTTTAATAAGTAATAACTCTATTAGAGACATAACAGTACAATATTTGACTGTACTTGTTATCGTTCATCATTTACATGTTACATTCCTCTAGTTTAAAGTATCCTCATACATCTCGCGTAAGTTTTGGTTCTGAGAAATAATTAGGATAATCCATTTTACTATTATAACTGGCCAATAAGTATCTGCCACTTTTCTTATATTATTATTCTATTTACCATATATACAAATAATATACAGTAGTCGCCGTGTCGATACAGATAATATTAAAATCTAAATCTTAATAATTATAGTTGTATGCATATAAACTTGACTGTCTAATCCATCCGCTGTGTGCTAGCGTTGCACACTGGTGTGTGTACGTGTGCGCGTGGCGTACGGGTACATATACACCCACACACATCTTTTATATAAAATCTGTATAATCTACACGAGTCGCTTTAAGTATATCTTCTCTTTTAATCACAAAAGATACAAATGTTTATAATTGTTACACAAGCAGGGGGGTCTTGGGCGGTATCACTCTGGCAGTATCTTTCCTTTTTATATTACGGATACCTGATTTACATTCTTATGAAACGATAAATCAGTTCACCGCTAGATTGTGCAAGAAGATATACAGAATTTATTTTCGCATACTGAATCGTTGCGAACGCAATCATTGTGTAAATAATAAGATCAGGTATGATTATTTCTATACATAATAAGCCCGTGCATAATTATTCTGCATATACATATATTTATCTCCCACTTTGAAAAATTTTGATTCTTCCTCCTTATATAAAATTTGATTATATACGGATCATACGGTGCACACGATTTTCTTAAGGCCTTGTGTAAATATTGCTATTAACTTTATGCGTAATTTATACTTTTCGTTACTCAATCGACAGCATGTTTCTGGACAACTACTTTATTCATCATCGTGTAATAAAAGTCTAATTGACGACGATGGAAGCAGTTTACACCGCAACTCGATGACAAAAAAAAAAGAGAGTGTAAGTCGTAATGCACAGAAGTTTAACAATCTAAAATAATAATAGTTCAAAGATATATATTATAAATTTAGTTATTTATAGCAAGTTAACTTAAAATGCACATACATCGAAATATATCAAAATGTGAAAATAAATTCTATATGTGCAAATATTCGGATGTATCTTCAGAGGCTGCAAACATCATCAGAAGGCATAGAAAATTCACCATTTTCTTCTTTTTAAAATTATATATATCTATATATGCATATATGATATATATGTATATATATAATTCCTCAAAAATTCCTATATACATATATATGCAATATATATTATATATATTATATATATAGAAATTTTTTGTCTAAAGTAGAAAATTGTAACTTGAAAATTAGATTAATGCGAGAAAGAAAATTTTGCAAATACATTTCAAGTATTAAATTTTCCGAGATGTTAGATGCACACGTATTTTTCATCTTTGTCACTTATTTACAATAGTCAAACATACGTGCATACAGAGATATCTTTGTAGGGAGCTAAGATCTTCTGAAAATGATAAAATTATTAGACTTTTAAAGACATTATTTAAGTTAATATCATTTTCTATACGTCTTTTTTTTATATTTCATATCTGTAATTTCTATCTCGGGAGATACATCACATGTTCTTGTTAAATTTCCAGTGTGAAGCCCGATATCCCCTAATTTTTCTCTGTTACTACAATCTAAAGTAAAGGAACAATCTATTTGCATAATATCCATCAATAGGTGGGAAATTCTCAATTCCCGATGAATATCTTACTCTTATGTCAATTAAAATTTATTTACAAAAGTAGTTATGTACAATTATTTTTTGTAATTTAAATATGTAGGTCTATCATAGCCTTGAATGCGAATAGACCGGCTTTCGAATATAAAGACCTTATTGCAAGAACAACTCCGAAATATTCCGAAACGATAGATTAGCACAGCATAATTTTTCGTTCGAGCAAATATTCGAAAATGATTCGAATAAAACAGTTTCGCATCGATTAATATAATTTCTTTTTGATAAAGTGAACACAAAAACTATATAAAAAATGTGATCTTGCAAGACAGACTTAAAACAAATTAACAATGATCTCTTAAACAGACATTTTCTATTGAACATTATTACGATTCGTGACACAACTGAATACTGACAATAATATAATTTGTATGTAAACGTACAGTTATGCTATTTCACAATCGTTTCCAGAATACTTGCCTAACGAGTTTCGTGTTTATTTTCTCTATCTTTTCAAAAACATATCTTTCAATAACATATATACAATGCCATCCATGCAATAACGTCTTTACAAATAGTATATTGTTTGCAGTATTATCGTTAAAAATCATTTTTTTAACTTTAGCTTTTTAACTCTAAATTTAATAGGAATATTATAATTACCATAAGATTATTTGTACCATGAATTAGGTGACACGCAGCACCCCCAATGACCCCAATACAATTTAATTTTTTTTTTTACTGCAACCATTCACATACAGTAGCCTTCCAGGTTTATTCTCCTATCAGAGACAAATATTGAATATCTTATTCAACTTCGTTCTTTTCATAGGATTGGAAGAGACTTGTACAAAAGTCTCTTCACAGCAATACTGTAGTCAGAAGATCATTATAGCAAGATGTTCACCATTTTGTTACAAAGTATGGGGGTCGCAATTTGATTACATTTTTACGAAACTCACTCGCCTTTTATCTCAGTTTTTTTCTTAATCGAAGAATGCCAATATATCGTCGTTAGAAGGATTACCACTGCTGGCGCCGCTACTAGGTGGAGTGTTTAGTTCCGGAGGAGCATCGAGATACGAGAGAAGTTCCATTGCATCCATATTGTCTGGCAAGAGCTGTAACAGTAGATAACATATAGTTGAACAAACTGGTAAAACGCTTCAATTAAAAAAAAAATTTCGATTTACTGCGAAAGATATTTACATTTAACGCCTCTTGGCCGGTACCTTCCCCGTCTATAACTGCAGCGGGGTCGAAATTTAAGTCCGATGGTATATCCGCAGCGGAATCGTTATTTATGGTTGTGGTACTCGTATTGCCGGAGGTGTTGTGATTTCCCGTGGATTCTTGCGACGCGGGCGGAACACTCGGCGGTCCACTGGCACCACCAGCTGGCGTGTGAGGGGTAGATTGCGGAGTGTGCGGCGTATGAGGAGTATGAGGCATCTGTAATGTACACAGCATTATATTTAACATTTGTCAACTGCAATATATCGCATTTCGCTAGCTAGTTTTATATTATTTCTATATTATTATTGTTCGAGCATAATCGATGTTGCAGCAAAACGTACCTGGTCGTTGAGTGATTTCTCCATAGCATTGAGAGGATCTAAAGAGTTAACGGAGTCGTTTAAATGCGAGAGAGGACCCGTTCCACCGATGTAATCATTATTGCCGATAGTATTCGTTCCAGAGTTCATCTCGTATGTTCCGGACGCGCCCCGGTGGTTAATGCTGTTACTCGGATACGTGGAAGATGTGTTATTCATCATCGAGCCGCTCACGATACTGTTCATATCGGGCGGTATGTACGGACTCATAGCTTGATTCATATCCCAATTGTTCATAGTTGGCATATTCATACTGCCTGGCGACATAGCCTTGGTTGTTCTTTTGCAATCACTTTCTTCCTCGGATTTAATACCAGTTAAGTTCTTCGCGGCTTTCCAGTTAGCGCCCGAGTCTATCGTCACTTCGTCGACTTCCGTGGTATTTAAAGTATTCAGAATACCCCACATATACTGATCAACCTCTAGGCCCTCCAACTGTGCAGATTTCCTGTAAAACACGCGGCAATTAGTTTCATTCTCTTTTTTCGACGAACGCATCAAAGTGATTGGCAAGTTTTTACTTATACTTACGAACACACTGGACACCTCCAGCTGCCTCGTTCGCAATTCATTTGCAAGTACGATTCCAAATCGAAACACTGTATATGCTTGCATTCATGTCCTCTAGCTGGCAGTGTAATGCGTTTGTGGGTAATAGGACATTTTAAGAGTACCTGTACGCAATAAAATGTGCACGGCTTAAAACATTGTTGACAACTTTGCGCCATGGGAGTAAAAAAGATCCTCAAAATGCTTTTGTGAAACTTACCTTTAGTGCTGTTTGTTCGACTACATCTTTCTCTGATTGGATGCCATTCGACAACGTATTACTGAAATTTCTTTTGATTTTCGTTATACAGTGTTCTGCCGTCAACAACCTTTTACGTAATAATCCATGAAGTACACTTCGCACACTGGGTCGGTGAACCAGTTGGAGTACAAATAGGTGCGACTGTAATAGCATATTTGTGACCTTACGTTTATCACAGTCTATGAACTATGTAATTGTGATGGAAAAAAAAATAGGAAAATTATTTTAAGCTTACAATTATACCATTAATAAAAAATAAATAAATAAAAAACAATAAAACAAATAAAAATAATGAATGAATGAATGAATGAATAATAAATAAATAATTGTACAGATATATTCAATTGAGTAAAATCTATCTGCACGAAGCGAAAACTTGTTCTTGAGCTTAGCAAAGAATCGCTTTGCAAAGAGTACCTTCTTATTTCCGAATTACGTAAACAGTATCGTTTAATTATTGATATCCTCAAACTTACACAACAGCATGCGGATACGGTAATCTGTATTGTGTTCCTTCCTGCTTGACAGACGTCCTTCAAGTAGAGAGGCTTGTGGGTAGCTTTGTTGTCCCCGCGGTCGATCACGAGGGGAGTCGCGTTAACGGAGACTTGTACACTCGCCGGCCAATTCGTGTTCATCTGTCTGTCTTCGTGGTGGAAACACTTGAGCTGTAGCTCCAGGTCTGATCGCCACACTAACGTCTGATGCACCGTGGGCTTCAGTTGAAACACATGATTGCTAACAGCCAAATTGTGCTCTAGGCGGAAGGGTGGAAGAATTATGCCGTCTCTCACGGGGAATGTTAGTCTCATTTCATCATCTGAAAGAAGCCGTACATTCTCAGGTGTCGCGGTTTTAGAGACCCAAATAAACGTTAGAAAAACATCTACATGTCGTGCGTATCAAATTCTCCAGTTTTACGACTGACAGACGCTATTTCGCGGTTTGGAAAAATGGCCACCGTGCATCTGATTACAACGTCTCTTCTATTGATACAATTTTTTTAACCCGAGACAGCATACAAGTGCACGTAATCCTGAAATCGTACTTACTCTGAATGTTAACGGGCGATTTCATCTCATTGAAATTAGGCTTGATGGGATCCGGATTCGGACTGATGTAAGGCGGCATGCTGGTGGCGGGTGTCAACGGAGGCGTCGGGTTACCGGGGATGGGACTGTGCTGATAATTCACGTTGCCCCCGTTCGACGATCTCATCGATACCACATCTTGCTGGTATTGACTGGTCGCCACGGCGGACGCGCCGTACGACGCGTTGCCGCCGCCGTATCCCGTGTTCGGCTGATGGCCGACGAATTGGTTGCCAACCGAGGTAGGTGGGACCATGCAGACACCGGGTACGCCGTTGCTACCGTAGCCGTATTGGTTGCCGGCGGCCGTCTGAGATGGGGTATTGTAAGCCGGCGCCGCTTGCCTCATATTCGTCGCTCGTATCATCGGGTTAGGCCCGAAACCGGCCGCTGTAGGATTCATACTCTGCATAGACTGGTACTGTTGCTGAAAATTCGGCCTCGCCCCGGTGGGATAGTTGGTCGGGTAACTCGGGGCCGTCGTCAGACCGCCGTTGAAACCCTGCATAGCCGCTGGATTCTGAGCGTTGTACGGAACTTGCTGTCGCTTTTGCGCCATGTGCATGGCTGGGTTCGGATAAGGCGTTAATCTCCGTGGGTAGCCTTGATGCGGCTGCGCCTAGAAACGCAGAGACACATACGCTATTATCAGGGAGAACGGAGACGCGCCTTTCGTCGGCCGAGATATACGCTACTGCAACAAAGTTAGAAATAATCGTAGTGCGGCAAGATGAAGTGCACAACTCATACAGGACCGAGGACTAAACCGCTGACCAAAATCACGTACACCGATGCCTA